GGAACAGCCAGGTCTTGATGCCTTTGTGGAAAGCCTGAAGGGTGGTGAGGGTCTGAATCTCCACGGGAAGATCGTTCCAGAGGGCCGGAGGAGCCACAGAGAAGGCCCTCCCTCAGGGGGTCGACAGTCGACATTGGCTAGCTGATGGTATCCGGCGGAGGCCTAATCTGTGGGATCTGATTGGTCATAGGGAGGTAATTGGCAGGAGGCGGTCTCTCAAGTACCCAGGTCCAATATCATGTAGGGCTTTAAAAGTAATGACTAGCACCTTGATGCGCATCCGGAGTCCAACAGGCAGCCAATGCAGCTCGCGGAGGATAGGTGTAACGTGGGTGTACCGAGGTGCACCCACAATCGCTCGCGTGGCTGCATTCTGGACAAGCTGATAACAGATACACAGATAACTGTGTATCCACTGTGTGCAAACTTTCAAACCAGAGGTGGTATTCAGCAGGTGGACAACTGGTAGTGGAAATTTTGAATAGTTCAGAGAACCGTTAAATGCTACCTCTCACTGGCTCTGCCCCATCTATTTTCTGCCTCCCAAGTCCTAGCTGATTGGGAGTAAATGGGAATTTTGCAATAACCTTCCCCTGCAGTGGGGAGAGAATTAAGATTTTACACTATCCTTCCCCTACCACACCCACCAAGCTACATACACAGAACCAGTAGTAAAAATCCCACCACTATTTCAAACCTCAAAATACCAAGCCAGGTGGTCCTTGATTTACAACCATTTGTAAACAATTTACAACCTTACGACATTACAATGGCACTGAAAAAAATGTCTTGCAACCAGTCCTCACATTTACAATCGTTGCAATATCTCCATGGTTACATGATCAAAATTTGGGCATTTGGCCATTGGCATATATTTATGACAACTACACTGTCCCAGGCTCATGATTTGTGACCTTCCCAATTAGCTTATGACAAGCAGTGTCAATGGGGGAAGCTGGATTTGCTTAAAGATTGTGCAGTTCACTTATAATTACAATGATTCATTTAACAACCATAGCAAAAAAGATTGTAGACAGGATTGTAGCTCACCTAACAACTTAACAATGAAAATTCTAGTCCCAATTGTGGGTTGTAAGTTGAGGTCTACCTTTATGCCACTGTTATTTCCCAAGTAATTCACAGGAAAGTATTGATGAGATTATACAAGCACATAATACAACCATGAATAGAGTGATCTGTGTCAAACCCTTCACAACCATATGCCAACACGAAGTTGGAAGATCACACATTGTTATTAACCAGATTTATTTAAAGGAAAACAGGAGTTTGTATATAGAATCTTGTCAACTGTGTTTACTTTAGCATCACATTTTTCTATATAGTTCCGGTAGTCCTCAACTTGCAACCAAATTGGGACTAGAATTTCTACTGCTAAGTAAGGCAATTGTTATGTTGGCTGTGCTGGATTTTATGACCTTTTTGTTTGCCGAGGTTGTTGCATGTGGAGCAAATCCAACTTCTCCCATTGATTGGGCTTGTCAGAACCTCCTGGGAAGGTCACAAATAGAGATTATATGACTCCAGGACACTGCAACAGTCATCAATACATGCCGGCTGCCAAGTATCCAAATTTTGATCATGTATCCCAGCTACTGTTGTAAATCGAGTACTACTTGAGTAATTAAGTGTGTAATCAATTCATCATGTAAGGAGAAGGGTTTCTGGATAGGTATTACAGCAATGATTGAGTAGGGCAAATATTATTTTATCAGTCATACACTGTTTCCTTAATACAACAACATGCCCACATTTCCATAATATTGCTGTTAAAATTTATAAAACAATAACAGTTTCAACAATAGCATTTGACTTTCTTGATTTAGAATTTTCAAACTCTTCAGATGTTTTAACTTTCAGATGCAATTTTTGGTACAGTTTTTCCTTAAACGGTTGACAAAGGAATACGTAAATAACTGGATCAAGACAAACATTTGCAGCTGACAGTATCAATGTAAATTCTTTTAGGTAATACAGTATATTTTTAATCTGACAGTCGTAATCAGGTTTGATTTGTTTTAACGTATATGGGGCTCTGACCAGGTGATACGGAACAAAGCAAACGATAAACACAAACATGATGGTGAAAATGTTTCGGTTGGTCTTTTTCTTTGCCAGCGTGGAGTTTTTCTTAAACTTTTGGTGGGAAATATATATTTTCTTGGCAATGCAACTGTAGAAGACTATTAGGAGAAAAAACACAATCCAGAAAATTCCTAGGCATGTGTAGTTTGAAGCTTTGTGCCACTGGAGTCCAAGAGGGCTTTTGAGCTTCATACAGTCATTTGAATTGTTTTTTGTAGGAAGTTGGTTTGTTAAAATAATATTGGGAAAAGAGATAACAATCTGTAGCAGCCATACGACCAGACATACAATTTTGCTACACTGGACACTGAAAGCAGAAGTGCTGAATTGGGGCTTCATTACTTTAAAGCATCTGTCAAAGCCTATGAGTCCAAATAATGTTATATTAATATACATATTTAGGTAAAAGATGACAGCAGAAAAGCGGCAGACAACGATGTCGAGCTGCCAATGTCCAATTTTGGAGTCAGAAAATATTTTAAAAGGGTAAGTTAAGCTCATAATAAGGTCGGCTGCAACAATGTTCTTGAGATAAACAATAAAACTTGTCTTGCTAGGAATGTGAAGAAAGATCCAAGCTGCCACTGCATTTAACAGTATTCCACCTATAAAGATGAAACCGTAGAGCAATGGAATAATTTGTTGGGTAATGATTTTATTTCTATCGCAATTACTTTCTGAAGTATTCCTTGAATCGACCATGTCCAGTTCATTTGCAGTCCCTGGAAAAAAAAAGATCAAGTTAAGTTTAAGAAAACAATTTCCATGCATTTTTCTCTTTTATAATATCATATGGTCACATGCCATTGCAAGTAAAAAGGCAACCTTCTCAAATAAAGTATTACTGTTTTGAAATATAATTTCAAACAGGATCAAAGCAATCTTTAGACAATAGTCATCACAAAAATGTGTGATTTTTATGTTTTTATTTACTTTAGTTTTGTAAACAGCTTCTTATAATGTCGAGATGCACTACCCTTGAGTACTGTCAGAGAATGGTAATTTTTAATGGATAGAAGGAAATAATTAATTGCTTCTACTGAAAGTTGAAGTCAACCTCTGATAACAACACCTGCTTGTAGTTTTCTTAATAAGAATAAGGAATATTTTGCCATTATCTTCTTAGAAATGGTCCCCCACTCAACATGCCAATTTAGTTTAAAGCTGCATTTCCTAATAGTTTTCCAGTCCAGTATTAGCCAGTAATTCTGCTCAGTTTTTTTAAAGCTTGCCAAGATTGCCTATTCTTACATAGGCCCATAAACACATAAATATTTTAAGAAATATATAAATAGTAGAAATATTCATTCCAGGTTCCTCAAACTTCAGAAACTCACCTTTCTATAAAGCATCTTTAAACAATGTTTTATTTACTTATTTATTTAATTTGTCAAACATGTAAAAGATAACAAGTATAAGCATAAAACATAAATATGAACACAGTAAATAGGTTTGAATTAATAGAGACAGTAGGACAAGGATTGCAGGCATGCTGGTGCACTTATGCACATTCTTAAAAACCTCTTAGGAATTGGGTGAGGTCAACAGTAGATGTCTAAGGTTAAAATTATGGGGGTTTGGGTGTGTAACCACAGAGTCAGGTAGTGCATTCCAGGCATTGACCACTCTGTTACTGAAGTCATATTTTCTGCAATCGAGTTTGGAACGGTTAACCTTGAGTTTGTATCTATTGTGTGCTCATGTATTATTGTGATTGAAGCTGATGTAGCCATTGACAGGTAGGACATTGTGGCAGATAATTTTGTGGACTACACTTAGGTCAGACCTTAGTCAGCATAGTTCTAGGTTGTCCAAGCCCAACATTTCAAGCCTGGTGCTCTCATTTTTTTAACTTCACCTACTTATAAAAGATATCTCATCTCACAGAAGGAAAAAAAAACCATAAAAAGGACCCTTCTTAGTTTTGGGAAAGTAAATGAGATGATCAATTCTTTCAGACTTGTAAGAGTTATGCCAGCTGAGGAAATCTATACAACAAGCACAAACGATGAATACTAACTTACCTTTATTGTAAGGGTTACTATAACAAAATCTATCAGATCTGAAAATACTTTACTATCCCCTGCCTTTCCTTAAAACTAGGTATAGCCCCATCTGAGATGCTTCCCACATTCCTTTTCCTTCTCTGGGCTAAGAGACCTTTTGTTTGATGGCTGTCTCAGCTTCTGTCTCCCAAGGTCATTCCCAGAAATACTACAGATACAAATGCATCTGTAGATGCAAACAAAAGATGCATACAATCTATTAACTAGAATAACTCATCACATACTTTGCTTCTGATGAAATGGACCTATATATAATTATTATTTTTGTAAACAGATATTGATGTTTACTGTTTTTTCTGGAATAGCCACATGAATATAGGGAAGTGGTAACTCAGTGGTAACTCGGCTGTGCTTGTCGATCAAAAAGGCCAGCAGTTTGGTGGTTTGAATCCCTATTGCTTTGTAATAGAGTGAGCTCCCGTTACCTGTCCCAGCTTCTGCCAACTAACAGTTCGAAAGCATGTAAAAATTCAAGTAAAAAAATAGGAACTACCTTTGGTGTGCAGATAACAGCGTTCTGTGTGCCTTCGGCATTTAGTCATGCCAGCCACATGGCCACAGAGACCTTTTTGGAAAACGCTGGCTCTTTGACTTTGAAACAGAGATGAGCACCGCCCCCTAGAGTTGGGAATGTCTAGCACATATGTGCAAGGGGAACCTTTATCTTTAACTTTATCCTGATTATGGAAATTGATTTCTGCACATATAGAAGCCTTTTCACTATGACCAAGTATTTAGAATATAAGATTGTAATGTGATATTTTTTTAAATAAAATTGTATGTTTATAATCCCTTCCCGAACACACAGAAAAAAATATGTCTCATACTTCATGTATATTCTGATTTGCGACTCCTGTTTTAATTGGGGGNCAATAACACAAATAAGACTTTTAAAAGAGTCTTAACTTACCTCCTTCTAATTATGGCATTTTTTCCCTTTCTAGCTTTCCACATGTGCACATAAAACGTGTTTTCCACTTTTTTGCCAAAACATTTTTAAAAAAAAAATAAAATCTCATCTCATCCCAATAACTATAAGTTGATAGCTAATTATACTGATATATTTGAGATGGAAGCAATCTTTAGTACAATGCAATAAGATCTAACTATTTCTAGATTTTTTAAAAGTATCACAGGTACAAAGATGAGATATAGTCAGTTTTATAACCACTTGAGTAATTAGTTCAGGGGAAGCTATATTTTATGCAATGTAATGAACAACTAAATATTTTCTTTATTTTTATTTGTAACTTACTGGTGTGTTTAATTCTCATTACTAGTTATAAATTTCTCTGAGATTTAACAAGAGCCTTAATAATGGTGTTGGAATTGAATGATGCATAGTCAAAAAACTATTTGTTAAAATAATATACTGTGTCAGTAATATGATGACATATTCAGCATAGATCTACTTTTTATTGTGTTTCAAATATGATGACATATTCAGCATAGATCTACTTTTTATTGTGTTTCAAATACCTTTTTCTAGTCTGCAGTTTGGAGTTGTAATCCTATGGCAAGGTTTGCGATTAAGCATTTTGACAAGAATACATTAAAAAAACCCAAACAAATAAATGTATAGTAACTTCTTACCAGTATAAACTTTGGTAGTTTTTCAGCTGATTCAGAAGTGATGATACCCTTTCAAATCCATGCCGAAATGAAGTTCCCAGCAGTTCCCACTCTGGTTTAAAAACCCCAGAGTTGTAGAGTTTACAGCCCCTAGCTGATACTGGGGCTGGTCATGAGATTAAATCATGAGAGACAAATCTAAACACATTGTCCCCCCTCAAAAAAGGAAATGTATGAAGCTGAAACCATAAAAGTTCCCTAGTGGCTATAGCAACTCTTTCAAAATTCTAATTTCCTCCTTCCATGCTCAGTTCTTAGGAACTAAACAATTCCCACAAAATTGGCATAAGTAACAAACCACACATTTATTTATTTATGTACTTACTTTAGAAACACTACAAAATGACTGAAGTACACATCTTTGGTAATAAATGTTCTACCTGTACTTTCATAGTAAGCAAAAAAAAAATATTTGACCATACTTCTTTTGTTTTTTTGTTTTATTTGGGGAGATTTAATGAATTTTTTAAAAGTGATATGTGCCTTGAATGGAAGCAGTGAATATCTTTTCTAGGACTGCATTATTTTTATGGAACAAGTGCTAGTGCTTTGCAAAGAGATAATATCCTTATTAATAAAATAACTACAAGAGCTGCAAACAAAATGCTGTTCGATTTTTGTTGGTGTGACTTCCCTTTTTTAAAAAAAAACCTGAAAAATACTTCATAATTATTTTCTTTTTATATCAAGTCAGAAAATAATTCTGTTTAAAATGAAAATACATTAAATCACGATGAGTTATATGTTAAAAGTCCTTGTGGGAACTGCTGTATAAAATCTGTCAGATCTCATGGAAATTTGCCACCTGTTGAGAGCCACACAGGAAGAGTTCATGGTTCTGAGAAGTGTAATTGCATGAGAGAAGTTTTTTATGTTCTTTGTTCTGATATAAACCTAATTATATAAGGAATAACTATTTAACTCTGTCCTAATATTAATAATATTGAACACAATGAAATTGCTACAGTATAAATTCTAAAGAACACGGGTGGCATGAAATATGCCACTTGAATGAACCATCAACTGTAAATTCACCTTCTGTTGTCTAAGATTGGATAACATCACATACCACAATGTCTGCCTTTATTCCCTATGAACTTTTAAAAAGAAGAAGTAGCTGTGCTTATATAAAACAGGCTACATTGTTGACACATAAGAATGAAATGACATAGGTGTTAGAAAAATTCTTAAAATTTCTTAAATGTTGATAAAGTCTTGGCATAATTCCTATTCTCCCTCCCTCCCTTCCTCCNTTTGCTGTTAAAATTTATAAATTAGTAACTGTTTCAGCAATAGCATTTGACATTGATTTAGAATTTTTGAACTCTTCAAATGTTTTAACTTTCAGATGCAATTTTTGGTACAGTTTTTCCTTAAACGGTTGACAAAGGAATACGTAAATAACTGGATCAAGACAAACATTTGCAGCTGACAGTATCAATGTAAATTCTTTTAGGTAATACAGTATATTTTCAATCTCACAATCATAATCAGGTTTGATTTGTTTTAAAGTATATGGGGCTCTGACCAGGTGATATGGAACAAAGCAAACGATAAACACAAACATGATGGTGAAAATGTTTCGGTTGGTCTTTTTCTTTGCCAGTGTGGAGTTTTTCTTAAATTTTTGGTGGGAAATATATATTTTCTTGGCAATGGAACTGTAGAAGACAATTAGGAGAAAAAACACAATCCAGAAAGTTCCTAGGCATGTGTAGTTTGAAACTAAGTGCCACTGGACTCCAAGAGGGCTTTTGAACTTCATACAGTCAATTGAATTGTTTTTTGTAGGAAGTTGGTTTGTTAAAATAATATTGGGAAAAGAGATAACAATCTGTAGCAGCCATAAGACCAGACATACAATTTTGCTACACCGGACACTGAAAGCAGAAGTGCTGAATTGGGGCTTCATTACTTTAAAGCATCTGTCAAAGCCAATGAGTCCAAATAATGTTATATTAATATACATATTTAGGTAAAAGATGACAGCAAAAAAGCGGCAGAAAACAAAGTCGAGCTGCCAATGTCCAATTTTGGAGTGAAAAACTATTTTAAAAGGGTAAGTTAAGCTCATAATAAGGTCGGCTGCGACAATGTTCTTGAGATAAACAATAAAACTTGTCTTGCTAGGAATATGAAGAAAGATCCAAGCTGCCACTGCATTTAACAGTATTCCACCTATGAAGATGAAACCGTAGAGCAATGGAATAATTTGTTGTGTAATGATTTCATTTCTATCGCAGTTACTTTCTGAAGTATTCCTTGAATCAACCATGTTCAGTTGATTTGCAGTCCTGAAAAAAAAATCAAGTTAAGATTAAGAAAATAATTTCCATGCATTTCTCTCTTTTAAAATATCATATGGTCACATGCCATTGCAAGTAAAAAGGCAACCTTCTAAAATAAAGTATTAGTGTTTTGAAATATAATTTCAAACAGGATCAAAGCAATTTTTAGACAAGAGCCACCACAAAAATGTGTGCTTTTACATGCTTTTATTTATTATAGTTATGTAAACAGCTTTATCCAATGTTGAGATGCACTACCCTTGAGTACTGTCAGAGAATGGTAATTTTTAATCGATAGAAGACAATAATTAATTGCTTCTACTGAAAGTTGAAGTCAGCCTCTTATAACAACACCTGCTTATAGTTTTCTTAATAAGGAATATTTCGCCATTATCCTGTTAGAGATTGTTCCCCCCCCCCGCAACATGCCAATTTAGTTGAAAGCTGCATTTCCACCAGCCACTAATAATTCTACTCAGTTTCTTTTAAAGTTTGCCAATATTGCCTATTCTTACATAGGCCCATCAACACATAAATATTTTAAGAAATACATAAATAGTATGCAATATTAATTCCGGGTACCTCAAACTTCAGAAACTTACCTTTTTATAAAGCAGCTTTAAACAATGTTTTATTTATTTATTTATTTAGTTTGTCATATATGTAAAAAATAACAGGTATAGGTATAAAACATAAATATGAACACAGTAAATGGGTACGAATAAATGGAAACACTGGAACAGGGATGGTAAGCACGCTGGTATCCTTATGCACATCCCTTAAAAACCTCTTAGGAATTCAAACCATTCCTAGGTCAACAGTAGACAGATTAAGGTTAAAATTATGGGGGTTTGGGTATGTAATAACAGAGTCGGGTAGAGCATTCCGGCATTGACCAATCTGAAGTCATATTTTCTGCCATCGAGTTTGGAACGGTTTACCTTGAGTTTGTATCTATTGTATGCTCGTGTATTATTGTGATTGAAGCTGATGTAGCCATTGACAGGTAGGACGTTGTGGCAGATAATTTTGTGGATGACACTTAGGTCAGACTTTAGTCGGCATACTTCTAGGTTGTCCAAGCCCAACATTTCAAGCTTGGTGCTCTCATTTTTTAACTTCACTTACTTATAAAAGGTATCTCAGTTTACAGAAGGAAAAAAAACATAAAAAGGATCCTCCTTAGTTTTGTGGAAAGTAAATGAGATGATAAATTCTTTCAGACTTGTAAGACTTATGCCAGCTGTTTGAGGTAATCTAGAAAATAAGCCTAAATGATGAATACTAACTTACTTTTATACCCCCCCCACCTAGAGAAATAAACTAGGGAAGGCCCTTCATTGCCATCCATACAGCAATGTAATGTATGCTGGTATTCAGTTCAAACCTGTCCCTAAAAAGCACACCCAGTTTATTATAAACCAAAAGCATTTCCCCCATTCCATTTCTGTCCTGCAGAGCTTTGAAATCATTGGATTGCACTGATGTCAGAAACCCAAAATTATTCTGTCAAGTGTTAAGTTTACAGAAAAACAAGGATTTCTGACAATGAATTATACTTTGTTTTAATAATAAAAATAACACAGTAATGAATATAAGTTAAATGTTGTAATTTGTGTAATGTGTAATATTTCTGTACAAAATCACCAGCATGGGCTAAATTCTTTGCTCAATAATGCTATTATATTCTGAATATCAGGGGTGGGTTCGCTTGTGGGCACGCTCGATGTGTGCTGCAATAAAAATTGCTCTGTGCATGCGCAGAAGCAAAAAACAAGATGGCGATGCTTACTGCGCCACCCAGAGAACCTGTTTCTGGCCGTGGCAGGCCTGGTCGCTGCTGGTTCCAATGGCCCAGGCTGCCAAACCAGTACATGTTTGGCCGAACCGGCCCGAACCGTAGGAACCCACCACTGCTGAATATTCATATAAGAGACATCAGTAAGTCATTTCTTAATTAGCACTGGGTATCAAGCTAAATTTATTTCTTGTTGAAAGTGTCCAGTCCAATAACACAAATAAGACTTTTAAAAGAGTCTTAACTTACCTCCTTCTAATTATGGCATTTTTTCCCTTTCTAGCTTTCCACATGTGCACATAAAACGTGTTTTCCACTTTTTTGCCAAAACATTTTTAAAAAAAAAATAAAATCTCATCTCATCCCAATAACTATAAGTTGATAGCTAATTATACTGATATATTTGAGATGGAAGCAATCTTTAGTACAATGCAATAAGATCTAACTATTTCTAGATTTTTTAAAAGTATCACAGGTACAAAGATGAGATATAGTCAGTTTTATAACCACTTGAGTAATTAGTTCAGGGGAAGCTATATTTTATGCAATGTAATGAACAACTAAATATTTTCTTTATTTTTATTTGTAACTTACTGGTGTGTTTAATTCTCATTACTAGTTATAAATTTCTCTGAGATTTAACAAGAGCCTTAATAATGGTGTTGGAATTGAATGATGCATAGTCAAAAAACTATTTGTTAAAATAATATACTGTGTCAGTAATATGATGACATATTCAGCATAGATCTACTTTTTATTGTGTTTCAAATATGATGACATATTCAGCATAGATCTACTTTTTATTGTGTTTCAAATACCTTTTTCTAGTCTGCAGTTTGGAGTTGTAATCCTATGGCAAGGTTTGCGATTAAGCATTTTGACAAGAATACATTAAAAAAACCCAAACAAATAAATGTANTTTCCGCTCACACTGAAAAAAAATTAGAGGGAACATTGGTGCCATCCATACAGCAGTGTAATGTATGTTGGTATTCAGTTCAAACCTATCCCTAAAAAGCACAGTTTATTATAAACCAAAAGCATCTCCCCATTTCTGTTCTGCAGAGCTTTGAAATCACTGGATTACTCTGATGTCAGAAACCCAAAATTATTCTGCCAAGCATGAAAGTTTACAGAAAGACAAGGATTTCTAACAATGAATAATAATTTGTTTTAATAATAAAAATAACACAGTAATAAATATATCTTAAATATTGTAATTTGTGCAATGTGCAATATTTCTGTACAAAATAACCAGCATGGGCTATATTCTTTGCTCAATAATGCTATTTTATACTGAATATTCATAATAAGAGGTACTGGTAAGTCATTTGTTCATTAGCACTGGTTATCAAGCTAAATTTACTTTGTGTTGCAAGTATCCAGTCCAATAATACAAATAAGACTTTTAAAAGAGTCTTAACTTTTCTCCACTTTCTAGTTATGGTATGTTTTGCCTTCCTGGCTTTCTACAGATGATAACACGTAAAACTTGTTTTCCACTTTTATTTTTCACCAAAATCTTTTTAAAAAAAATAAATTCTCATCACATCCCAGTAACTATAAGGAGATAGCTAATTATACTGATATATTTGAGATGCAAGCAATCTTTAATATAAATGTAATCAGATTTAACATTTTATAGATTTTTTTAACGTATGAGAGGTACAAAGATAAGATATGGCTAGTTTTATAACTACTTGAGTAATTAGTTCAGGGAAAGCTATATTTAATGCAATGTATATCTAATAATGAATAACTAAATATTATTTTTATTTGTAACTAACTGGGGTGTTTGATTCTTATTACTAGTTTTAAATTAGATTATGTTATCATAACATATATCATCTTATTAATGAGATTTAACAATAACCTTTATAATGGTGTTGCAATTGAATGCTGTATAGTCAAAAAACTATTTGTTAAAATAATATACTGTACCAGTAATATGATGACATATTTAGCAGACATCTATTCATTTATTGTGTTTCAAATATCTTTTTCTAGTCTGCTGTTTGGAGTTATAATCCTAAAGCAAGATTTGGGATCAAGCATTTTGACAAAAATATATTTAAAAACCCCCAAACAAATAAATGTAAAGTAACTTCTTACCAGTATAAACTTTGGTAGTTTTTCAGATGATTCAGAAATGATAATGCCCTTTCAAATCCATGCCGAAATGAAGTTCCCAGCACTTCCCACACTGGTTTAAAAGCCCCAGAGTTGTAGAGTGTGCAGCTCCCAGCTGATACTGGGGCTGGACATGAGAGGCTGATTAAATTGTGAGTGCCAAATCTAAAAATATTGCCAAAAAAAAAAAAAAGGAAATGTATGAAGCTGAAACCATGATAGTTCCCTAATAGCTATAGCAACTCTTACAAAATTCTAATTTCCTCCTTACGTGCCCAGTTCTTAGAAACTAAACAGTTCCCACAAAATTGGCAGAAGCAACGAACCACACATTCATTTATTTACTTTAGAATTACTGAAGTACACATCTTTGGTAATAAATATTCTATCTGTACTTCCATATTAAGCAGAAAAAATATATTTAACCGTACTTTTTTTGTTTTTTGTTTTATCTGGTGAGATTTAATGAATTTTTTCAAAGTGATATGTGCCTTGTATGGAAGCAGTGAAAATCTTTTCTAGGACTGCATTATTTTTATGGAAGAAGTGCTGGTGCTTTGCAAAGAGATAATGGAATAGTGGAATAACTGCAAGAGCTGCAGACAAAATGCTGTTCGATTTTTGTTAGTGTAACTTCCCTTTTTTAAAAAAAACCTGAAACATGCTTTGTAATTATTTTCTTTTTACATCAAATCAGAAATGAATAGTGTTTAAAATGAAAATACATGAAATCATGATGAGTAATATGTTAAAAGTCCTTGTGGGAACTGCTGTATAGAATCAGTCAGATCTTTTGGAAATTTGCCACCTGTTGAGAGCCACACAGAAGGAGTTTATGGATCCAAGAAGCTGCAATTCCTGGTGTAATTATGTGAAAGAATTTTTTTAATGCTCTTTTTTCTGATATAAACCTAATTATATGAGGAATAACTATTTAACTTTGTCCTAATATTAATAACATTGAACACAATGAAATTGCCACAGTATAAATTCTAAAGAACACGGGTGGCATGAAATATGCCACTTGAATGAACCATCAACTGTAGATTCATCTTCTGTTATCTAAGATTGAGAAACATCACATACCACAATGTCTGCCTTTATTCCCTATGAACTTTTAAAAAGAAGTAGCTGTCCTTATATAAAACAGGCTACATTGTTGACGCCTAAGAATGAAATGACATAGGAGCTAGAACAATTGTTTACATTTCCTTAACAATAACAGTAGTCTTATATACCGCTTCATAGGGCTTTCAGCCCTCTCTAAGCGGTTTACAGAGTCAGCATATTGCCCCCAACAACAATCCGGGTCCTCATTTTNTTGGTATATTTTATGATGAAGGACGTTTAAACGACTATAGTCAAATGAAAATGGAGATATGATGACAGTAACATGTATAAATATCTGAGTTAAAATACTTGAGTTAATATGAATTATGCTTGATGACTGTGGAAGAGATGCACGAAAGTCTTTTTGTAACCAACTGATACACTTTCTACATTATGTAAAAAAGGAAGATTTTAATGTGTTGTGTTTGTTTTGAAAAAAAAAACTTTAATAATAATAATAAAAAAAGAAATTGGAATTCACAAGAAGCTAAAAGTTTCTCCAGGAGCTTCATGAAATTTCATTGTTTCTGTGAATATCAGAGGTGTAATTTTGTTGAGAAACATATGTTTACCTAAATGAAACAACTATACATAATATAATTATAATCATAATGCAATTCACATAGAAAACACAATTTGTTTACTAAATAGCTTCACCTAAATAAATTGGCTGCAGTGTCAATAGTTTCCTTTGAAAGTATTTGCTTTCTCCCTACCATTAACACTATTTTGTAAGATTTCATAAAGAATACAGATTATCCAAAGCTCTGGCAATTTATCTTAAATGTTATATGAAGATTAGAAAAAGTCTTCATTATGAAACTGAAGCCAATTTGATGTAGCGGTTAAGGCACCAAGCAAGAAACCGGGAGACAGTGAGTTCTAATCTCACTGGGTGACTTTCAGACAGTCATTCTCTTTCAGCCCCATGAAGCAGGCAATGGCAAACCACTTCCAAAAATCTTGCAAAGAAAATAGCAGCGACTCAACCGGACAATTGAATAGCAATGAAATAATCATAACATTTGCTTGCAAAATGTTATGTGAATCTTGCAAAATTATGCTGAAAAAGCAGAGGAAACCACTTAAAAGTTATAGAATTCCTTCTTTACCTTCCCCCCTAAAAAAACACAACAATTATTACCTGTAAGGTTCAGATATGATATATTAGACCCCATTATTACTGTTGATTTGCACATGAAATGCTTTTCAGAAGTCATGTTGGTGGCAACTGATCTGCAGTATATGATGGATTGTGCAAATTTTAATTTCTGAAAAATATAAAAAATGTAAATATTTACAATGAGCAAATAATTCAGTGTAACTATCTTATCAATAACTGGACAGGGAAAGAAGCAGATGGAGATGATGGTACGTTTGTGAAGAAACATGTGACAGTTATTTTCTGTATTGCCATTCTTTCCTTATCTTATTAACGAACACAAATTGAGCTCAAATCAGTGGTCTTGATTTGGCTGGAACTCTCGATTTCAAGTAGTACTAATATTATTTTTTTCCATAATGACCATATTTCTAATTTGTTAACACAGTTTACATTCTTCTATATCAATGCTTCCTATTTTGTTTTAACTATCCAACTGTGCCTCACTCTTCTTTTTAAATCTTTTCTTTCCCAATAGAAAAAGATCCAGGTTTCAACAACTGTAGTTGAACTCTATCAGCAGTCTCTGCTGTAAAGTTGAAAGACAAATCACCAAACAAGAATTCTTACAAGCCTTCAGTGAATAAGCAGCCATCACTTCTGAAGGCAAACTGTTTCACTGGTTGATTGTTCTTACTGTCAGGACATTTTCCCTTAGTTCTAGGTTGGATCTCTCTTTGATTAGTTTCCATGGTTGTTTCTTGTCTTGTCTCTGGGTGCTTTGGAAAATAGGCTGATGCCTTCTTCTTTGGGCAGCTTCTCAAATATTGGATCACTGCTATCATGTGTTTCTTGGTCTTTCTTTTCACTGGATTAGCCATACCCAAATTCTGCAACCATTCATCATGTTTTAGTCTCCTAATTATCTTGGTTGCTCTTCTTTGTACTTAGTAATGTTTTCCAGTAACATGAAAGTTAAATAAAGAAACCCTATCATTATAAACAGAGGAAAGAATACTATTGAATTCTTCTGTTCCCAGAATTATCTAAGCAGAAAAAAATAAATACTAAGATGTGAAGCTTATTTGGAGGATGTCCAGGGATTTTCTATTGTTTGTACAAGTCATCAAACCTCTCCTCAACTTAGTTTCATCATGAAATCCTCATGGAGTGATTTTTATAAACCTGATTCGGGGTAAAGAGAGAATATGACTGTATATATGGATAAGGAGAGCTAATCTTGGCATTCTGCATGCATCAGAGGTAGAGATAAATTATGTAAGTAAATATTTATCAGCAGAGATTTACCCACATAGTAGTTTTTTTTAGTGGTCACAAACTTTTTTCTTCATTTTGTCTACATTTATGAATGACCAGCATTGTTCTGGTGTACATTATATTTCTATAAAATATACTTTGGAACCTGTATGAGAATTACTGAATACAGATGCTCTGCTATGTTTTGGGTGCTTGGAAAAAGAAGTTTGTATGCCTAGTGTTTAGATAACAGCAAAACAATGTTTATATACGACAAGTATTGAATAAATCTTATTACGATCAAACTACTTCAAACTATGGGACTCATTTGAGAATCCTTGAAGAAAAGAAAATGTGTGTGTGGGAGATCAGGAGTGAGAAAGAGAGAAAGACACTGACTTAGCAGTATGCTGGGACCATCATATTTTTTATGAAAGGCTGAAATTTTTCCTTCATAAAAATCACTTCAGGTCTATTATCTTCTTTGCTTATCTATATGAATGCAGGCAAGTTATAAGGGGATTCAGATACAAAATGAACTAAACCCAGACTGAATGTAAGTATGGAAAGATAGCTGGTTGGATGAATTTGGATTTATTCCAAAAATTTCAGGTGAAGGAGTAACAGAGCCTGAGAGCAGAGTCAAAAAAGCAATCATCATATTGCCAGTACATAACCACAACTGGACTAAGTCCAACATCTCTTTGATTCCATTAACCTTTATCTCATGCCAAAATTTGCCTTCCCAACGCTTTTTATGGCAATTCAGACAATCACTGGCAGTGAGGTTCAAGCAGGTATAGTCTATTCAAAATAATATAACATAGATTATGATGAGATATAAGATATGTTTTAAGAACATATGTTAGAATGTTGGAAATGGTTTTAAAATCAAGTAACATTTAAAGAAGTGTATGTATAGGGCTGCAATACAAAGGACTAAAAGTCAACTAATTTGAATCTCAAATAGAAGCTATTAAAATGTTGCTGCCTATCAGATCTTAAAGTCATTCTGAAATTTCATGGCCAACTGAAGATTGCTTCCACATTGCATTTTGTCATATATATATATATAATTATTACTTGTGTGTTCAGAAGGGAGTGGCAATCACTTTTATTTCCATTGTTTGCACTATTTCATTTTGTGCATTTTTGACATTAGTTTATGACAAAACAAGTCTTCCTGCTTAATTATAAACATCTGAATTTTTCTCTTTAAGGAATTCAGTATGACAGCATTTAACATGTTAAAAATTCCCACCATAGCTCAATAGAATAACCCACTGCCTTGCAGTCAATGTAAGTTGCTTCATATTCAAATGCAAATAATCCTAACCAGGTTTGTCCAAATCGTAATCAAGTGTTTTGCAAATATTTTTATATTTGATAATTTGACTATCAACAGAGGCTTTAATTGTCCTTTGCTAGTGCACTACATAGCTGTTTCAACAAGAATTTAAAAGAAAAGAGGAATACTTTCGCTAATAATTTTAATAGATTTTGTTATTCTATGTTGTATAAAATGTATAAAGTTAGAGCTTATCAAATGGGATAATTGTATAAAAGGTATGTACGATGTTACAGGTATTAGGCAATTCATCAGTAAAGTTGATGGACAGGTTTGGATATAGAAGTAACAGTCTTACTCAAGAAACAAAATCATAGATTGAAGGATAATAGATAAAAATATCTGATCTATTTCTATATGTTTCAAAATGAAGGATGATTAAAAAATATTGCATAAAGAGATACAAATCTCAGCCTGGGTTGCCATTTCCGTTTCCATCTGTTTTGTTTGTTTCAGTGTCTGATTACAAACAATCCAATAATTTTAATTCTGGATGTGTTTTTGATGTAGCCTGATATGGATGCTCTCTTTTCTTGAAGCCTGTGAAATAAATACGTAGCAGGTTGACAGAAAGTCTGTTTTGATGGAGAAGAGAGATCTCAACTCTGAAAGAAATGAGGGAGGCTGTTTGCACAGGGTGTGGACATCTGCTGTTTGTATATTTTTTGTTGAACTTCATAAGAGGAGATTTTGTGTAATTGTCTACTACAGTGGAGCACCAATGCAGCACTTGGCATTTCAGCTAAAAATTGCCATCCTTGATTGTTACAAGTGTTTACTCTAGTGGATTAATATAAGTTTAGTTTTTTTCAAAAACAATAAAAAGTACCTTGGGAATTCTCTTGTATATTTTAGCCATTTTTCCAGTTTTGGCATTAAGAGCTTAGAACAGTGCAGTGCTAGGTTTTTTTGTAGGCAAACTTTGCTATTTATAACAGAGCAAATATGGAATATATACTAGAACAAATCCATTTGGTAAACATAATCGTGCATCTNAAAACAGGAGTTTGTATATAGAATCTTGTCAACTGTGTTTACTTTAGCATCACATTTTTCTATATAGTTCCGGTAGTCCTCAACTTGCAACCAAATTGGGACTAGAATTTCTACTACTAAGTAAGGCAATTGTTATGTTGGTTCTGCTGGATTTCATGACCTTTTTGTTTGCCAAGGCTGTTATATGTGAAGCAAATCCAACTTCTCCCATTGATTGGGCTTGTCAGAACCAGCTGGGAAGCCCAATCAATGGGAGAAGTTGGGAAGGTTACAAATCGAGTTCATATGACTCCAGGACACTGCAACGGTCATCAATACATGCAGGCTGCCCAGTACCCAAATTTTGATCATGTGACCATAGGAATCTGGTGATGGTCATAAGTGGGAGGATGCTTATAAGTTACTTATTTAAATGCCATTGTAACTTTGAATGGTTGCGAAATATTTGGTTGTAAGCCAAGAACTACTTGCATCTGCAGATGTGGAGGACAGGTGGATATCTATTTTCTGGTAAGGTAAGGGAGAGATATTTGTACAATTATCATAATGTTTGACTGTTTTGCTGGTGAGACAATAATTCCATAATAGAATAACTTCAAAATTAAAGTCATTGTGCTGATAGGCTTTCAGCCCCAATTCAAAATGCTGATTATTACCTTTAAAGTCCAGTGAGATGCAGCAGTGGGATTCCTCCAGAATTGTCATAGCCGGAACTGATTCTGCCTATGTGGTCAAATTTACAAAGTCTCTTGGGAGTACCCACTCCTCAAAAGCCCATGGGACAAGGACTTTTGCTGTTAGAGCACCAGTCTTTAGAATAACCTGGATGTTTCTATTGCCCCAATTCTGAATGCCTTTCACAAACAAACAAAACGAATACACTCCTTTTTCTATCTCTCTTTGACTTTAGTTGATTGTGAATGGCCATCATAGGTATTGATGGGTATTTTATAGAGTTTATATTATTTATTTTTCATGTTTTTAATCCATTTTATATGTTGCTGTTAGTTGCTGAGAAACTCTTTGAAGTGGGCCCATTTTAAAATAATGCATAATTAAATTGATATGAATTTTAAAAAGGCTTGATGCATGTATTAAGATAACTCTGTCATAAGATCAAAGAGTTGCAATTGGATTGTGTTTAACTATACATTAAAAGGTAAAAGGTTCCCCTTGCACATATATGCTAGTTGTTTCCGACTCTAGGGAGCGGTGCTCATCTCTGTTTCAAAGTCAAAGAGCCAGCGCTGTCCGAAAAGATCTCTATGGCCATGTGGTTGGCATGACTAAATGCCGAAGGCACACAGAACGCTGTTATGTGCCCACCAAAGGTGGTTCCTATTTTTTTACTTGAATTTTTACATGCTTTCGAACTGCTAGTTGGCAGAAGCTGAGAAGGTAACGGGAGCTCACTCTGTTACAAAACAATAGGGATTCAAACTGCCAAACTGCCGACCTTTTTGATAGACAAGCTCAGTGTCTTAGACACTGAGCTACCACGTCCCTATATTCAGGGACCCTGTGGCTATTCCAGAAAAAGGTAAAAGGTTTCCCTTGCACATATGTGCTAGTTGTTTCCGACTCTAGGAGGCGGTGCTCATCTCCCTTTCAAAGCTGAAGAGCCAGCACTGTTTGAAGACGTCTCTGTGGTTATGTGGCCAGCATGACTAAATACCAAAGTGCACAGAACTATATATTAGAGACATTAATTTTTTTGGGGCAGGGGGGAACTGTAGAAGTGCCAGAACTTGGGGGTGGAGTTAAAAGAGCAGTGTAGAATCCCTATATAGCCACAAGCAAACTAAGTCCAACCTCCCTTGAATTAATGTTAGTGTGAATTTATTAGGCATGCCAGTTTATATGTTATTGACAGTAATATATTGCCACCATTTGACTATGCACATAAGTGCTGTTAATAATCTTACTTTTAAAACTTCCATTTGATAAAATTCAAAATGGCATCTTCGCTTCTACTGCTTATTTTAAAGGTTTGCATTATGATTGCCTAAGGAAAATTTTGTGGAGAAGTTAATGCATTTCATATTTTGCTTCAGATAGTGCTATAAATATGAGTAAGTGGGTTGCTTTGAATTTTAATTAGTATTCCCTTTCTTCAAGGAGGAAATAGATTGAAACAGGGCTACCACTTATCTTGGCACAGTGTGAACCCTTTCGTGATTATTTGTTTGCTATTTAAATTAGTCTTGTGGTTTATGCCAAAGCTAACCTGACTGGAAACTAGATTGGAGAAACCTGTCCAGTCGTGCCTTGTAAGATGAATTAAAAGCAGCTTATTATGAGGTCTCTGCCTAAATTGATTGTATTATAGCCTGACTTAAGCTTTACAGAATATCAGTTGGGCAACCATGAATCTGGACAAGCCATACTTTCTGTCCATTTCTGGACAGCTGAAACCTATGACATCATCTTTCTCCCTTTCCCAGGCCAATGAAAAAAAAATCTCACACCTGTATTTTACAGCTTTTGGTTCAAAGAAACTGTTTTCTGGCCTAAGCAGATGGTCCTCAGGGCTTTCGTTCTATATTTTGACAGCTTAGCTGTGATTGGTCAAAACACCTTGCATGCTTTTTCGCAAAGGTGGGTTATGGTCCTGTGCAGCTATTTTGCTCTGCTCTAATAGGCTGCAATGTACAATGATTGACAGATGCTATTCCCTCCCCACACTTAATCTTGGTTGATCCATCAGGGGGCAGTTAAGTCAATGAACTATCCTCAACCCTAGAAACTGTTGCTCCATTCAACCCTTACCTCTCCCAGTGAACTCCCTTTTGATATCCACCGATGTTGAATGAACTATGCACCCTCTGATTTTCTGCACCCAGACTTAGTATTGCAAAGCTTATCTTCCGTTTTGTTTATATTTTAAACATCATCTTGGGAAGTTTAGAATGTAGAAATGCTACAAAATTCCCATTGATTTTCAGATAAGTAGAAGTAAAAGGACAACATGTCCCTGAATGCTTTGAGTACTGTAGCATCATTGCAATAATGGTACCCATAAGTCAGCAAAGAAAAGTTTATTATCAAAAGATATTATATGGGAAAGTTAGGGCAGGAAGAGCAATAATGGTGTGTGTGTGTGTGTGTGTGTGTGTGAGAGAGAGAGAGAGAGAGAGACAGAGACAGAGAGAGAGACAGAGAGAATATCTGGAAAAACTAAGGAAAATATGAGAACTAGTTAGAGGAAACAATCAGCAAGGAAGGGATAGGAAGTGCAAGAAATAGGGAAACAACCAATTGGGCCTTATGTTTATGGCTTAGTCCCATTGCCAACACACAAGGCTGCAATTTTTGAAGTTGTCTTTAGAAACAGCTGGGAGCAGCCTGGGAGAAAAGCAACTTAGCCTACAGTTTTGAACTATCCTTAGATAGCATTGTTTGAGCTGCTAAGTCCTTGCATTGTATCACAACCCTGCTTTTGTCCACTAGATGGCACCATATATCTTTTAAAATAATCCTAATGTAAGTAGAAAAAAAATCCTCACTTGTCAAAGGACATATATTATATAATAATTATTGAACAACTATTTTCTTCCTTTTCAAACCGAAAATCATGGAAAGGCTGAAAATGTTAATCACAAAATATATTCAGATTTGTAAAACAAGCAAAATACCTTTATTTACAAATATAAAACATTGGTACAAATAACCATTAAAAAAAATGCTTAGCAATGATGTCACAAATCAGTATATTCATGATAAATCCTCACTTCTGACTTTTTGATACTCTGAAAGGATCTGATGCTTTCACTCCTTGTCCGTATGTTTGATTTTCTGAAAAGCCGCCGTGAAAACGATCTACACATAAAAAAGTAGATGATTGGATCTAGGCAGACATTGCTTGCCGATAGGAAAATAGCCACTTCCTTGCAGTAGTACAAGATCTTGTGGGCTGAAGCACCTAAATAATTATCTAACTGGCACAAATTAAAAAGGATTGTGCATAGGTGGTATGGCACAAAGCAAATAAAAAATACGGTCACCACCACCCTTATGCTTTGTCTGTGTTTCCTCTTGTGACTTGAAGCGCTAATAAACTGCTTGCTGGATTTATAGATATACTTGGATATTTCAATATAACATCCTATTAATAGAATCAGCACAATGACAAATATGCCATTATTGAAGTAAATGATAGCATTGTGCCATTTGACTCCAAATGGGCTTTTCAGTTTTAAGCAGTCACTGGTATTTATCCTAGTTGGGTAACTATTAGTCAGGACCAGATCTGGCAAAGCTAAAAACACCATAACAATCCAAACCACAAGTGACAGAATCTTAGTGAAAGTAATGCTGTACATCCTGGAATCTCCAAATGGTTTTACCACTTTCAGATATCGATCAAGGCTAATAAGTCCAAGAAAAACGATTGTTGTATACATGCTGGCATAAAACAAAACCTTTGTAAACCGGCATAGGAAAAAATGGAAGTACCATGGCCCCAGCCTTGAATCTTCAATAATTTTAAATGGAAATGTCAGAGTCATCAGCAAATCTGCAACTACAATGTTTTTGAGGTAGAATATAAAGCTGGTCTTGCTTCTGATGTGGAAGAAAATCCATACGGCCAAGCTATTCAGAAAGATGCTTGCCAAGAAGATAAGGAGATAAAGCAGAGGTAAAACAATAGTTGTAAATTCATTATTGATGGGATTCCCAATTAGATCTTGTGAATAATTGGCCCAAAGATTGATGTCTTGACCCGGAGACTGATGATCTATAGAAATGATGGTTAAAAAGGTTGGTTAAAATAGAATAGAATAGAATTCTTTGTTGGCCAAGTGTAATTGGACGCACAAGGAATTTGTCTTTAGTGCACATAAAAAGACAAGATACATTCGTCAAGAATCATATGGTACAACACTTAATGATAGTCATAGGATACAAATAAGCAATCAGGAAACAACATCAATAAAGATACAAGCAACAAAGTTATAGTTCTGCAGTGGGAGGAGATGGGTGATAGGAACTATGAGAAGACTAATAGTAATGCACTCTTAGTGAGTAGTTTGACAGTGTTGAGGGAATTATTTATTTAGCAGAGTGATGGCATTCGGGAAAAAAAACTGTCCTTGTGTCTAGTTGTTCTGGTGTGCAGTGCTCTATAGTGTCGTTTTGAGGCTAGTTGTTGAAACAATTTATGTCCAGGATGTGAGGTGGTCTGTAAATATTTTCATGGCCCTCTTTTTGATTTTGATTTGATATCCTCTAAAGTTTGTGTCTGTTTTGTTGGGTTGCAGAACCAAACCAAACAGTTATAGAGGTGCAGATGACAGACTCAGACTAAAAAATTGTAACTATTTCAACAATGCTCTCAGGTAAGTATTAACAGAAATCATAATCACAATGATGGGCAGAAAAGTCTGACTCATTTCTCTTTTGATTCTAGTTCAAAGGCCCAGGAATCATAAGACATGAAAATCTGTAGTGTGATGTGGGTTACTTTCTTAATTATGGCAAGTCAGTATTATGCTGAAGTTTCCTTCTTTGCCCAACCCAAGAGTCTTTAAGAAGTACTTTCTAGGCATTTTCTCAACCAAAAATAAATCTCTTTCCTAAGATCTATTCAGTATAATAAGACTGGAGCATCTGGTGCTATGAGAATAGACCAATTTTCTACCAGGTTTACATATATAACTTGATACTAATCTTGATATTGCACTATTTAGTTATGATTGTACAAATGGCATATAAGTTGCCAAGACCATGATAATTAGTGCTTTAACATCATGTCTCTTTGATTTTATAGCAAGAATTGGAAACTGGGAGTTTCAATAAAATAGCATCCTTTTAAAAATATGTATTTACCCAAATGAATTAATTATGCAGTTGGTAGTAGTAAAGGGCATTTGATTATAACTGTCTGTTATGTGCTACTATACACATTCACACAGACTACTGTAAATGCTTAAATTCAAGTAATTGTGAACCTATAATTGAGTAGTTGCCTCAGAGAGCAGCACTAGAATTAGTGGGCAAAAATTATAAAAAGACAAAGTTCAGCATTAGAAGGAACTGTGAAATAGAAGAATTGTGCAGCAGTGGAGTGGAGATGTTCTTACTTATTAGTAGGAAATATTTACGCAGAAGAAATGCTGAAGTTGCAAGAACTCAGCTGCATATAAGACTCGATATTCTCAAAGATCACTTAAGGGTCACTTTTGTATAGGTGAAATGTCTGGAAAGAGTTCTATTGGTCAGGATATTTAGGTTTGTGTGTTTCCATATTCAACTCAATTCAATCCCTGAGGAATGACATCAGGAAATTATTGTTGCTTTATACTACCCTTTTGAGTTTTTCAAAAGCTTCAGGTTGACCACTACAAGAAACACGGAATGAGACACAACGGATTTTAAGTCAAGCTTTGTAGCATTTTTCTGCAGTGGATCATATAAAGTTTGACATTTAATTCATTTGGGAAAGTTTTTCTTCTAAAGCTGTCTTTCAGCAACAAACTGGTATTTCAAGAAAATTATAGTGCTGTGTTAATATTGTATTTTTTAAAAAAAGAGCTTTAGACCACAGTTACAACAATGAGGTGGCAGGGAATACATTGTTTTAAATAATGAATACGTTTAGTAATACAGATGAGTAAGTTCCTGCTGCATGCAAGGGCTTGTTGAGCTTTGCCTCTGAATACTTAGGGATACAAAGAGAACTGAGAAAGAAGTACATCTTTTGTGTTATAATTCTTAAGATCAATCCAGCAATTGAACAAATTTCCTAAGAAAACTTTGAAGCCTTTTTTGGTGCGTGGGTGTGTGGGTTGGTGTAATATTGCATGTCTAAAATATGAGACTGTCCAGTAAGATACATATATGTGATCTACCGAATAAAGGAAAAATAGTTATATAGGATTGGCGAGGTAACTGATATCTAATTCTAAATTTCTGCCAGTGTCATTGCTTTTCTAAATGCAGAGTTCATACAAGCATGGATCATCTTTACTGAATTCGGCTGCATTTTTGTAGCTGATTACAAATAATGTACAACATGTATGCTAGTTAATATTAAACATGGTTTACACTGTTAGAAGTATGCATAGAAAAGGAAGGAACAGTTTATGGGAAATTCTTGAGAAAGATCTGCAATCCAATGCTCTATGACTTTAATTTACAAAAAGGAGGAACACTTTTTTTAACATTAATAAAATGAATGATAAAGATGGGATAACCCATAGAATAACTTTATATATGCTTTTAAGACTAAGACAAGAACATAAAGAGTAGCTTTAGATTGGAAAATGTTTGTGAGTATTTTTAAAAACTAAATAATGTAATTATTAAGATAATTAAACAACTTTAATAATAACTAAAGTAAATTTATTAGGCCAATTAAAATTTTTAATAATTGTTGCAAGCTGTCAATTCAGGAAGCAAATTTATGAAGAATAATAAAGAGACTACATAAAAGGAAATATAGCTAATAATTGGACTGGGTCTATGGAACCTAAGTTGGTATTAGCATATAAAGTTACTGCCTTAATGGAATTTGGATTATTTTTCAACCTAATTTCCTACATAGGCATCTTCTGTTATGTTCATCTGATGAATGAAATAATATGTTCCTGGGCGAAAACTAATATTATTTTATTGAATATTAAATTTTACATTAATATTAATGGTATCAGCATTTCAGATGATAACATGAAATAAACTAGGCTTAAGCACTTAGCACACTTTTCTCCAATATATTTTTGGCTGTTTTAAACTTCTGAAATTTAATATAAAAATAATGGTTGTAAGAAGGAAAAGACACTTTGTTTCTTTCAAAACAAATGATTTTCTTTTAATACTTAATGAAATTGGAATTCACAAGGGGGGGGATCCGAAGTTGCGACGACACAACGTGTGATCTCAATGCTCTGAGATCGCAGTTGACACTTTTGCCTCTGGNATATATATATATGGGTACAATATAAGGAAATGAGATGTAAATTGTAAACAGTGATTTGGAAAGAAGGATAGAAAACTTTGTTATTAAATTAAATAAAATAAACTTTTTTAAAAAGTGGCACAGGATTAGTGCCAATAGTAAGATGAAGAGTCTGTCTTGCTTTAACCTTTTTTTTAAAAAAAAACACCATTACTATCATTGTGATAGCAGTGAAACAGCAAGGGATTACAGGATTCAATGCATAATGAGGGCCTTATTATGGAATTAATTTTGAAGAAACCTTTTAAGCTACTGGAATGTTGGATTGTTGTGTTCTTGCTGTTTCTTTTATTGCTATTTGTGTTCTCTGGAGCCATGTATTCTCATGCTTTTGAACCTTTCAATGTGTTTTTGGCATGTTGTGGATACATAGAGTTTGCTGTGGAAAATAGCACCGTTATTTCTGCTTCTTTTTTAAAAGGAACATTTGGACAAAATTGTCCCAACCACAAATGACTATTGGAGTTCCTTAGAAAAGAGTTACTGTGCATGTAGTTGAAAGATTAATGTGTGGCAACAGGTTTTACTAGAGGATCAAAGTAATTATTACAAAGAGATTTAAAGTCGAGGTTGCTGGATTTTGACTTCTCATAATAGCAGTATTACACAACCTGTCCAACCTAGCCAAATAGACTTCAGATCAAAATACCCAGACCCATGAACCTCATCCATCTCTGTCTCAATACCTACTTTTAGTTTAATGGACAAATACATCAACAAATCAGAGGAATTCCATGGAATCACCACCATTCGGTTAGAGTGGTTAGAGTGCACTACTGCAGGCAACTTCTGCTGACTGTCGGCTGCCTGCAATTTGGCAGTTCGAATCTCACCAGGCTCAAGGTTGACTCAGCCTTCGATCCTTCCAAGGTGGGTAAAATGAGGACCCAGATTGTTGGGGGCTGTATGCTCACTCTGTAAACCGCTTAGAAAGGACTGGAAAGCACCTAATCCAGTCAGAGGAAAAAAACCCTATGGCTGAAGCAACCTGCCATTGTCCACAGATGATTGGATGAAAATATATTGTTCTCAGAATGTACTGCATTATAGCGTTTGTGACACATTGTTCAACTTTGTAGGTCACCAAGCTAAGAAAGATTATGACATATGCCTCTGTATCTCAAGGAACCAGATTTGTGGCCCTCAAATCTGAAGTATGACAAAGGCCAGGATGATATTTTTCTTGACCATAAAATAAAAAGAATTATCAGCCTGAAGTGAAGGGGAAAAAATGATACTGTCCCAGAATGGCTAACAATCCGTTCCTTTCCAGTCCATGCTTCCCAAGCCAAAATGCAAGATTTTCCCACATATATATCTATGTGACGGGAAAAGCTTCAAGTATTAAATTTCTGCTTGTCACCCATCTGTAAAAAAAAATTGTGTTAACGCACAATGATTTAAAAACTTATGAATCAGTCACACAACCGTGGCAAACTGTAGATCTGTACCAAGACAAACACTTTCTAAAACATCACCTCCGCAGTAATCTTTTTTGACACATAAATTATTCGTTGTGGCTATTAATCACATCTGTTACATATCACTAATATCCAATGCTTCAACAGAGTAAAAAGACTTTTCCAAGGAGCGCTTCCTTCTTACTTTGTAACGTACAATGTGTATCTCTAAAATATCATTGTGGATCAATAATGTTCAGGGACTAAAATAACAGGCACAATTATTTACTTGAAATAGAAAAATCTCAAAGTTACAGCATCACTTGTTCCTTCTTCAAACTGTGACATGAGCAGAGGAATTTGAGAGAAGCGAAATAGATTTTCTGTTTCAGCCAGGATTCATTGCAAAGATCTATGTACGCCTGTCAATTGTTATTTCTCAAGTACAGACACAATCTTAACAAAGCATTTTTAGAGTGCTCAAATGCTGGGGGAGATCTCCATTGGTCTTTAAGAGCAGAATCCAGCACACGTAAGGTTGTGTAAAAGATGTTGAGACTCTAGAAAAAGTGCAACCAGGATGATTAGGGGACTGGAGACTAAAACATATGAAAAACGTTTACACGAACTGGGACTGGCTAGTCTAGTGAAGAGAAGGACCAGGGGAAACATGATAGCAGTGTTGTATTATTTGAGGGGCTGCCACAGAGGGGAGGTAGTCAAGCTATTTTCCAAAGCACCTGAAGGTCAGACAAGGAATAAATGGATGGAAGCTGACTAAGGAGAGATTCAACCTAGAAATAAGGAGGAACTTTCTGACAGGGAGAACAATCAACCAGTGGAATAGCTTGCCTTCGGAGGTTGTGAGAGCTTCATCACTTGAGACTTTCAAGAAGAGACTGGACTGCCATTTATCAGAAATGGTGTAGGGTCTCCTGTTTGAGCAGGGGTTGGACTAGATGACCTATAAAGTCCTGTCCAACTCTGTTAATCGGTTTTGAAATCTGATGGTCTTGTACAGGATCTTCACCTCAGAGAACTATATTGCATGAATTTTTCTGGCATGGGTGAATTATATACTAGAACACATTTATTGTCTTTATAATAACAGTAAATCAGGAATGGGGGAACATGTGGCCCTCCAAATGTTGCTGACTTACATTTCTACACATCTCTGCTACTAGCCTTTTGTCAACATTTAGGCAAGTTCTTTGGCAGATCTGAATAATTTTCTGTCTACTTCTGCATACAATGGTACATAATCACTTTTAATAACAGAAAAAAATGCAAACATATCTCCATCCATACCTTCTCTTTGGCAATCCATTGTGAAAGGCAAGCAAATGTGTTTGAATGCTTCAAGATTGGCATTTCTCAGGCTTTCCTAACAATCTTTGCTGTTTATATTTTGTTTTGTTTCTGTTGTTATGTTAATGTTTTGCCCCTAGCTCACTGCAATCTGTATACATATCTTGATAGGGTATATATTCCATTGTCAATTCCAAATTTTTTCACAAATGAACCATAGCTGCAAACAGGACACATGTGGTTAGAAGATATTTAATTCAATGCTTTCTCATAGTGCTTGTTTCATGAAGAAGAAACATCTTCAAGGCCCTTTCAAAATGTATCAACAATCCTAATGAATTTGGGGGTTTTAAAGACAAACTTTGGTTTTCTTCAGAACAAGGTCATGGGAGCATAAATGAGAAGAATAGGAGACAGCCATGGCCAAGAAGCCTTTGTGTGAGTTTATCCGTTCCAGAATCAGAAGGGCTTTGAGACAGTCATGTCTTGGTCTCCTTTAGCTTGGATGACTTTAATGCATCCTACATGGGGTTGCCCTTGTGACCACTCAGAAACTATGGTTTGTCCAGAACACAATGGAACAGGTAGTGTTGCTTTATATGCATGTATCCCCACTCCTTTGTGAACCACATTGGCTGCCAATATGCTTCTGGATGCAATTCAAGGTGTGGGTTATAATCTATGGAGCCCGCCATGGCATAGGGCAGTGGTGAGTTTCAAAAATTTTTCGAACCTACTCTGTGGGAGTGGCTTGCTGGCCATGTGACCTGGTAGGAGTGNAGGAGGAGGAGGAGGAGGAGAAAGAGAAAGAGAAGGAGAAGGAGAAGGAGAAGGAGAAAGAGCAGCAGCAGCAGCTTCATCCAGTGTAATAGGATGGTGAGGGGCAATGGAAGGATAGGTTTTGCAGGATGGGAGGAATGGAAAGATTATATTTCTTTGCAGTCATCTGCTTGTTAGCACTCTCTCTGTTGCGGCCACTTGAGAGTTTATCTGTGCCCTAAATCAGAGTGCAAATGGGTGTGGAACCTCCTTAGAACTTCTGAAACCACTGTGTTGTAGACAGGGGATAGGTGGTGCTACATCCTACCCTTCTGTTGAGAGAAGGCTGCTCAGTTTTAACATAGATGGGCTCTTTCACTTCTCTTTAAACCAATGGTCCTCTCTATCCAAAATGCAGACTTTGTATGTCGGCTTTCCATGAGCAGTGTTGGACCCTGAGGAAATAAATGCCCCCTATCAACCTGAAAGGAAGATAAATAATGAAAGCTTCTGTCCAGTGTTTCCTTTCTGACAATCAGTCGGAGTTGTAGGAAGGAATCAGAAACACAGTACCTTTATATGCACATATTTTGAACCTCAAAATATCATTTTGGCCATGAAGGGAATTTCTCCTTCAGAGAGAATCGAACTAAAAGGACGAGATTTGTTCATCCATTTCTTCTAATTTAATTAGTTCATTTTCAGAGGCATGTGTGTTGCCCTCTAACATTGCTTGTGGTTGTTTTCATCCAAGTTGGGTTTAATTCTTGTTAGGGCTCATTTTTAAGTTGCTCTTTCAGATGTAGGTATTGTTTTCCAGTTCTAACTCCTGTTTCCTTGATGAAGGAACAAGAAGAGGTGACAATGCCTAGCAATCAATGCAAGAAACATTTGTCCTATTTTAAATAAGAAGAAATCATGAGGGAAAAAGTGTCTAGAAATGTGATTAAAAAGTGCAAGGATTACTTATTTCCCGGCAGATATGAGTCCTTACATCCTTTTGGAGAGAAATGATGCACTGAAAGACTATAACTGTTGTTTAGCAACTTAAAATCCCTACTGTAACCCAGTGTGAAGCTAACTGGACCTAAGATGTGTCTTACCAAAACTATTAAAAACAAGATAAGCTGTGGAAACTATGGCATTGCTACAGAGGTGGCTTCCTACTGGTTTGAACCGGTTCGGACAAATAGGTAGTAACTTGGCTGTCTGGGTCGCTAGAATAGGTAGCGACCTAGGCCTGCCACACCCCCAAACTGGTTCTCCTATGGCGGCGCCATATTGATTTTCAGTTCTGCGCATGCACAGAACAGATTTCATTGCAGAAATATTTTTTTTTCCTTTTTTAACATTTTGCGCATGGGCAGACAATTTTAGATGCAATTATGCTCATGCACTGAGCAAATTTTTTTGCAGTAATGCCGGCAGCAACCATACATTGCTACCAATGTTAAAAATCCTTCAAGGCAAAACAGAGGCATTCTCGGGAATAAGGAGCACTGACTAACTTCTTCTACTCATAGTGGATTTAGGAACTAAAGTTCTTTCATGACTTGTTTAATTGTCCTGTAAAAGTCTTGTATCAATATTGCTCTTTCTGTGTTTACCTGACTGCAGAATACTGCAAAGCTTCTAGTCACACGGATAAACAGAAAAACTGGAAAGTGTATTTAACAATTTGAAGTATGTCTGCAGGCCACTGGAAACAAACTACGAGGTTCTGAATAACACCACTGTGTGTGTAGGGCTGATACGTTGGAAGAATTAAAATGTTCAACATGATGCTGGAGATATATAACACGCAATATGAGAACATTAATTTCCGAAGGTGTTTTAATACAATAATACCATAGGGGTAATCAAATGAATTGTGTGTTTGAACATTATGAAATACGCAGCAGGAAAAGACATGTGCTTTTTCCTGGCACTTTAACACCATGTCATCCTTCTCACTGTGTTTAATTCCAATTAAATATGTTGCTTCTGGCTCATCTCCCTAACTTATATTGATCTTCATTTTGTGCGTACAACAGGCACATAGTCAAGAGCATAATTACCAAATGAACCTCTCCAAGCCAGGGCATTTGGCAACCACCATCTTATAGATATTGTACAATTTAATCTGTATGGGAAAATGCCTGGAGCACAATCTCCTATCCTACTCGCTAGGCACTAGCAAGTTGCAGAAAGAAGTGATAATGTATAAAATAAGGAAGGGGGAAGAGGTAAAGGATGATTGGAAAAATGTTGAGCATCCATCAAAAATCAGATCAGCATAGAATT